AGAGGCTCAACATGTGGAGGCTTTTGCTGTGCTGAGCAGCTTTGTTGATATTTAAGATAGCAGAACATGGAAGAGCAAGGAGTTCTTCACAAGGCCCATGTTAGTTCATGCCTTTGTACATGCTTTTGCCCAGGGCGGCCTTGTATCGCTTTCTCAGTTGTGTAGCCTTTTTCATTCAAGGCTGGTGCCTCTCCTGGTCTCTGACTTGAAGTCCCTATACAGAGAGTACTTAACACTTCATATTATTTTCTTCTTGATTCTTCTTCCATTCAATTAATTCCTTGAGTATAGGATTTTGTGTTTTAATTTCTCTATCACTATTCATGGTATTATGCATTGTCAGTAGGCAACAAACATTTGAAATGAATGATTAATTAAAAGATCATGGGGATCAGGCCTAGGACCCTAGCCTAGCTGAGGAAATATTCCCTGAGCATAAGTAATTAAGATCATTGGTTCAGTAATTATTTTTTGATTGCCTTCATTGTCTATATGTGTGTATTTAGAACTTCTTAATGGCATATCATTAAAGTAAAGAGATTCTTAACTTTAGAGATCACATTTTATACAGTTTATTAAAATATATTTCCCTTAAAAAGATGACTTAATACTCATAAGCTTGTGGGGATTTTGAAACTGTTAAGTAGATGGTGTTGCATCTCTAATTTCTACCTGGAATAGTACGTTTTAGAAGTCCTTTGGTTTCTCTTCTTGACTTCAGGCAGAAATGTATTAAGCCTCCTAGCTTCTTCAGTAATTCAGGTTTCCTGACTTCTTTTTCTTAAGCACGGTGGTGCCTCACAATCCTTAAATAATCCTGGAACTTAATGTTCAACTTAATTTTATTCTCCTCTGTATTAGGTATCAAATGCTGCATAACAAATCACCCCAAAACTTAGAGGCTTAAAACAGCAATAATCGCTGATTATGTCTCATGGTATCTTGTGTGTCAGGAATTCGGGAGCAGCCTGGCTGGGTAGATCTGGCTTGGGCTCTCTCAGGAGGTTNTACGTATCTTTGTATATGTGTGAGTATATTGTAGGATAAGATACTAGATTGAAGAATATGTTCATTTTAAATTTTAATAGTGCAGAATTGCTTTCCGACTGCAACTTCTGTAATCCCATCAGTGTATGAGAATACGTCTTTTCCCATATCCATGCCAGTCATTATTTGTCAGTTTTTAATTCTTGCAAATCTGAGAAAGAGCTTGTTTTAATTTGTATTTCCTTAAGTATGAGTAAGATTGAACATTTTTTTCATATAGGCCTATGAACTGTTTGGTGTACTTTGCACACTTTTTTTAACTGGGTGAGGTGTGGCTATTGTCTTTTGGTTGTCTTTTTCCTGATGATTTCTAAGAGTTCTTTGTATATTAAGTAGATTATTCCTTTTTCATTTTTAGTATGTTTTTAGAATTAAAACAAAGAATTTATGTGGTGTTTCTTTCTAGGTCATTCAATATTAACAGGGTTGCAACTCAGGCTGTGGAAGATGTTTTAAATATTGGTGAGTACCAAAATTGCTATTATATATTATATTTATAATATGCTATATATAATGTATATGTTTTATTGTGTTTGCTATTATATGATACAAAACATTTTATTTAATCAAGATATTTTCCCCTTTTCCTTTTTCAATAGCAAAACGACAAGGAAATTTAAGTCTTCCATTGAACAGAGAATTGGTAGAGAAAGGTCAGTGACAAATGATCATAATTGCTAACTGTTTCATTTAAGTTCTGTATCGATTTTAAGGATGTTATTGTAAAGTGTACTTGTCTAATGAGAAACGCACAGTACTTTGACTCAAACATGCTCTTAATAGCCCTTTAAATATTTTTAAATAATAAAAGATTTAAAACTGGACTTTATCTTATGATTTTTGTCAGCCATGAAATATAACCTCTATGTCAAAAACAGCGCAACTGCAAACATATCCTAGGGAATAGGAAAATAAAGAAAAATACATACCTGGCAAATGGGAAATGCACACCTAAACTCAGTGTGCCATTAATATCCTCTGAATGAAAAGGAATTCACTGAGCTGTGAATGCTTATCTTCATAGTCACTAACACGTTCTCCAACCATCTCCTACCTACTCCTTCCTTTTTACTTCAGGGTCCTTGAAGAGAACTAGCACTGTTGGGAGATAGGATACTGACCAGGGAATTTGACGATCTGGGTTCCAATCCCAGACCAACCAGGCACTCACTGTGAAACTGTGGGTTAGACTGTCATTCTCCACTCCTCCACTTCCTCGACTGTAAAATGGGGGAGGGGAAGTAGATCACTGGTGCGTAGGAATTCTTCAGATTTATTCTTTAAATTTTATTTTAAAAAATATTTAAATGCTTAAACTGAAAAACACATTCATTTGATTTGCATATGAAATTTTAACACTCCAAAGTTCACTCATCCACCAGGATCATTTTTGTACAGACCTCAAAAACTAAAGCTTTTCTTACTGTCTCTGTTTAATGGAAAAGTATCCTAAGATTGTAAGGTAAATTAATTTTTAAAAACAAAATAAAACAAACTCATTTACAGTTGCATATACCTACCTTTGGAAGGATTTTAAAAAATATATACAGCTAAAATAAAATATAGACACAAATGGATATCGACACTTAAGATTGTAACTATCATCCATCCATAAACACAGACACTTAAATTTGAGTTATCGGAATAATTTCATTCCTGTTGGTTGCCTGTAAAACGATTTAGCAATACATGATATTTTAGCAGTATCAGTTCATTTGTCTGTATATTTTGGATTTCTACATAATAATTCCTTTGTTGGGGAGATGTTTTGCCTCTAAAGTAGTTTGAAAACAGGACTGAATCTCTGAGGTCCTTTTCATTTCTCTAAAATAGACTCTGTTCTCCCTTTCTCAATTTGAGACCTAACAGATAGTTTCAATCATGGTTCATGAGCTAGCTAGCATTAGCATTAAATCTGTATCAAAGAAAGGAAAATTAGGCATTGATAGTAATTGATTCTTCATTATGTAATTTATCTTAAAACATACTGTATATAGACCAACTGAAATTTATATCAGGTATGTAAATTAAGAGTATATATATATATATATATATATATATATATTAAAGTGATTGCTTTTCCCTTAATAATCTGAATGAATGCTATTACACTGCAGATTTGAGGCTCTTCAGAAGCAATAGTGAATGCCAATGCTGCAGCAATCATTACACTTCTGGAACTACTTTCTTCAGAGCTAACACATATTTTGTGTGTGTGTTCCCAGAGGAAACTTTTTATTTTTGGGTGTGAATTAGATTTTTTAAAAAGAACCAAATAATTCAAATGAAATTTTGGTAAAGAAGATAGATTATCTGACAGTCTTATAATGTCTTTTTAATGTGCTATTCAATTAAATGTTCTTTTAAGCTTGATTTCCTTGTCCAATTGACTTTAACCAGTTTGTGCTTTGCATGCCAACTCTCACATGCCTCTTTGTTAGAGAGAAAGCAGGTCCCAAAGATTTCTAAAACTATCTTGAGTAAAGGCATTTTCAGTAGAGAAAGCATATGACCTGTCATTGTTTGAGACTGCATTTCATATCAAGACTATTAACTTATAATTATGCTCATGAGTATTTTGGATAAGAATTTGGCAGGGGGGATATGGCAACTCAAGTTTCACTTTTTAAATTTTTTTTTTTTTAAGATTTTATTGGGAAATCGGGGGGAGGGGAACAGACAAGTTGCTGTTGTTTTGTTCTTCAGTCTAGTTGTGGAGGACGTTGCCTCACTGGCCCAAGCCGGCACCATCGCTGCGCTCCTCCCAGGCGAGGCAGATCAGTTGCCGGCTTCTGGATGGCTGCTCACNGTATAGAGGTTTTTCTCCTTTGGTGAGGTAGAGATCATGTCTCTACTTTCTTAACCTTGTTACATGGTCTTAGCAGTTTGGTAGAAAGATGGTTAAAATTATTGGCTAAAATTGAATGCTCAAATTCTCTGAGATTTTATATTTTTTATCCTCATCTTCTCCTATCCAGAGTGACTGAGGGTTAGATTTACTCCAACCATGCTCAGATTCTTGGTATCTCTGTGTTATGTATTAGGTGTTTCTTAAGTGGTGGGGATTTTTTTTCATATTTCTTTCACTTAATTTGTTCAGTGGTCAGACTACCCCAAGAAGAGAAGAGTAGAGGGGAGGAGCTGAGATAGGGCTGGCTGATTATAGTAGAGCCGAGTTGGACTACTTTTTATTTCCTGACTTGGACTAGATTTTTTCTCTGGGTATTTGGGAAATTGTATTAAATCTTCTTGACTTCTGGAGTTATTTTATTAATAATGATTCTAGTTTCTGGTCATTTCAGAACTGGCACTTCTACAAATGACTAATTTATAGCTAGCAAGTGGGAGTATGTTTTTGTATACGTATCTCACAGGTCTGTCCCATTGGTTTTTTGATGTATCAGTTTTTGGTTTTGAAATCAATTAAACCTGACTTTTTTTTTTTCCTTTACTTTTACCAGAAATGTCATTTAAGTTTTAGTTGTAATCTTACATGTTATATTTGTTATTGATCTCTTTTTGCTTTTATTGTAAAAAAAAAAATCATCATTGCAGAATTTTAGAGGAAGGATTTTTATCTAATCCAGCCACCTTAACACAATACTATTTTAATTTCAGAATGCTTTCTTTTTTGTATATGTTATATTTTTGGATGAGTAAAACAGTATCTTGGATTTAATGGATACTTGATAAAGAATTTGACTTTAATTCAAATTATTTGGGAGATTTTGTACACGTACATTAGATATTTTCATTACAGTTGCAAAGAGAAATAAACATCTAAATCTGTCTTTGAGCAGGAACCTTGGGTTTTAGGTATTTCTGGTATAATTTATTCATGGAATAACTAGTTTTTTAATAGGAACTTTTTAATTTGGTGAAATTATAATGCCTAATGCTTAGTTTAATTTATTCTATCTTGACATATCTTGCTTTTCCTTTACTCTTCAAAGGTGGCTATGGAGGCAGCGAATCAGGTTATACCTTGAAGGGACCGGCATAAACCCTGTCCCCGTGGACCTTCACGAACAGCAACTAAGTTTGAATCAACATAGTAGAGCCTTCAACATTGAACGAGTCCATGATGAAAGTAAGTGGATTGGGAATTAGATGCATTTGGGGCAATATTTAACTTATAGTTCCTTTGATCTCTAATTTCTAGAAATAATACTTTATAATTTTACTTCGGGATTTTAGTGCCACTGACAACACTCAAAACTTACGTACAACAAACTACTTCAGGTGTAAAACATTATAATTAGACACTGAAATAACAAATGTAGCATATTTCTAGAAGAAATGTTTTCTAGGATGGGTTTGAAAACTAGTGGATTAGGGAAGGATTATAAAATGTCCAAGGAATAGATGATATTTAAGGAGAGATTCTTGGCCTTAATCTTTGAAAAGTCAAAAAGGAAAAAGAAAGCAGAAATAAAATAAGCTAATCTGTGGAAGATTTCATAATAGTTATATATTTATATAATTATATTTAAACATATTGACCATAGTTATAGTTATTGATTAAAATGTTTTTTTTGTTGGGAAATTCTACATCCCAGCCTTAAGATTTGTGTTTCAATTATTTTTGTAAGCTGCAAAGAGAAATTAGCATAAGATGATATGCAGCTTTTTTGTTATAAGTTGTTAAAGTGAATTCTCATAGTTGAGCTTATTTGTGGACTATAAGTTAGCCATACTTTTCTACTTTTCCCAGTAACTTACAAGATTTTCACGATGCAAGACCTTAGGAGATATCCTAAATACCTAGATTTTTTTTTTCTCCTGTGTTTCATTTCTTGGCTAAACTTATCAGGAAAAGCTACCCTTACATATCTGCTTTCTGTCTGTGTCTTGTCATGCTTCCTGATGTTTATTATTTTTTTTCCCAGAATTTTTCATGGTGATTTATAGCTTTATAAGTTAGACATGTTTGTCATGGCCTGCGTGCCAACCGAGCACTCCCGACTTGTCAGCCAGGAGCTAGACAAGAAAGAGACTAGAGACGAAAGCTGGGGACAGGAGGTCCACTCAGTGCTGATGGCAGAGAGTGGCCATGTTTATTGTTTATACACAGCTTTTATAGCAAAAGTAACTTTTCTTAGGTAGGGGGTTTGGGGAGCAGTCTCCCCAAAGTGATACAAAACACAGCAAATAGAAACTGTTAACAGGATGGCCTTCCACTCTGTAACTTTTAAGGTTGTCTGTGATGTTGCTGTTCTTTATTCAGGGGCACAGAGGAGATGAGATTTACCCAGCAACCTTCCCACGCTGCTCCCCAAGACCTAAGAGCCTGTCAGCTTGCCAGCTGTCAGGCTTAACCCTTACTGCAGCCCTGGTCTGTAACTTTTAAGCTGCTCTTGAGCTGCTCACCCTAACATGGAGGCCTGTAGCTTGCCAGTTTACAGCCTCAGTGTCCCTGGCTGATCCCAGCTGGCTCCCCACATCTCCCCCTTTTTTATTTTTTAAAGAGCCTTTGATTTAAAAGGTGGCGGATGGCCCCACGGTGGCTGTGTCTGTCTTAG